TAAACATAAGCTAAATTAATTGATAAAGGAACATAGTGGAATTGATCAGCCATGGCACTATAAACTGCAGCCACAACATATGAACCCACCATTACAAGGTAAGGCCAACAAATGACACAGGGAATATACCCCAATTCACTAATACCTAGTTAAAACAATGCAAGCATTTGAAACTGTGCAATGCCTTTAACCGCTTAAGGACTGCCTTATTATTATTATTATTATTATTATACAGTATTTATAAAGCGCCAATAGTTCGCTCAGCGCTGTACATTACAAAGGGGGACAGAACATGTGACAGAACAATACCAATACAATGCAAAACATGAGGGGATCGAGGGCCCTGCTCTTTCGAGCTTACAATCTAGGAGGGAGGGGGTGGTGGCACAGGAGGAGATAGCTGTGGGGGATGGAGTGGTAGGAAGAGTGGAGGAGGTCAGCAAGTTAGCAGGGGGTGGGGTAGGCTTCCCTGAAGAGATGGGTTTTCAGGGTGCGCCTAAAGGAGAGGAGAGTAGGTGATAATCTGATGGGTTGGGGCAGGGAGTTCCAGAGGATGGGTGACACCCTGGAGAAGTCCTGGAGGCGGGCATGGGAGGAGGAGACCAGGGAACTAGAGAGAAGGAGGTCTTGTGAGGAGCGGAGTGTGCGTGCTGGGCGGTACTTGGATATTAGGTCAGTGATGTAGTTCGGGGCAGTGTGGTGGACGGCTTTGTACGTCAGTGTTAGGATTTTGAATTTGATCCGTTGCGCAATCGGAAGCCAGTGGAGGGATTGGCAGGGGGGTGGCGGAGACAGAGCGGTTGGAAAGGTGAATGAGTCTGGCAGCCGTATTCAGGATGGACTGAAGCGGGGATAGCCAGCGGCGAGGCAGGCCAGTGAGGAGGGAGTTGCAGTAGTCGAGTCGTGATATGATGAGGGAGTGGATGAGCTGTTTAGTGGTTTCTGGGGTTAGGAACGTGCGGATTTTGGCGATGTTGCAGAGGTGGAGTCTGCACGAGTTTGTTAAAGATTGGACTTGGGGCTGGAAGGATAGGTTGGAGTCCAGAATGACACCAGTACTCTGGCCTGCAGGGCGGGTTTGATGGTAGCGTTGTTGGATGTGACGGAGAAATTAATGGGGGGTGGTGTCCGGGCTGGGGGGAAGACAAGGAACTCGGTTTTGGAGAGGTTCATTTTAAGGAAGTGGAGCGACATCCAGTCTGATATGTCGCTCAGTAGGTGTGTGATTTGGGCTGAGACCAAGGGGGTGAGGTGGGGGATATACTGCTACAGGGCGGCACCTGTGCGCAGAATCATGTATATATCCGTGATTTTGCATTTACGGGTAGGGGGTGCATGCAAGCTGTGCTCATGCCCTACCCGCGCCACCATTTGTGGCCGCGGATGTCAATTACCGGGTCCCGGCCGGTAATTACCCGCTGGCGCCCGGTGATTACCGAGCATTTCCGATGGGGAGAAAGAATGTTTTCTTTAAAAATCTTACTCCCTGTCAGCTTGGAAACACTGCTCGGGATGGCTTTGCACAGTATAGCCATCCCGTTCAGTGTGCATACAGTAAAGAACACGCCCCCTAGTAAAGCACTCCCAGCACACAGGTAATCCTTTGATCGCCCCTCACATTAACCCCTTCCTGCCCAGTGCCATTAGTACAGTGTCAGTGCCTTTTTTTAGCACTGATCACTGTATTGGTGTCACTGGGGTGTCAGTGTCACTGGGGTGTCAGTGAGGTCACTGGGGTGTCCCCCCCCAGAGTCAGAATGTCCGCCGCAGTTCGTGGGAAAAAAAAGGATGTACATTTCATTTGGGTGCAGTGTGGCATGACCACGCAATTGTCAGTTAAATTAACACATCACCGTAACGCAAAAAATGGCCTGGTCATGAAGGGGGGTAAATCCTCTGGAGGGTAAGTGGTTAAGGAGGGTAATTAGTCCTCTCAGTTCTTTATCTTGGAACCACAGAATAATTAGTGTGTGTTTCAATGATGGGTAAAGTAGCAGGGTTCGAGAAATTTTGCAAAATTGACCTGGGCAGAGTTGATACCACTCACTCCATAAAAAATCATTTTATCATCATGCTTCATTCCTCTGACTTTGCTGATTGGTGGTGAAACATGTTGGGCGCGGCCTAGCCGGTGATGTCATATACATGCTGATACTCGAGGCTTTGGTGTCTGTTTCTTATGCGCTCCTATACTTCTTATGTTTGTAATTATATGCCTGCTTATTTTACATAAAAAAAATTTTTTACGATATAACACCATTGCGGACCTTTGATCTCCTTCTCTGTTGGGAATATCTGTTTATTGCAGAAGATTCCTTCTGGTGTCTGTCACATTATGCTGAGGAGGCGGTGAAATTATCAGTGAGATGAGTGCTGAGTACAAGCATACAAACATGTAATGATCTCTGGAAAGTGAGATCAATATTTTTCATAAGAGGCTGATCATTTTTGGCAAGAGGCTGAATCACATTTGCTCAACACCTTTCAAGATTTGATTGAATCTTGGAGAATATGTTTTTGGACTGAGCACTTTTTCACTTTTTTAATGGCTGGTTTCACTTTTCATATGGCAGATTGCACTTATTTATTCTAAAGTTATGCTTTGTTAGTCTTTTTGTATTGTGAAGGTTCACAAGTGTATATTGTATTGTTATAAATGTAGAGATGTGCACCAAGTTTAGAATGATATTTGTAATGCCAGAGTGTCTCTGGATTCTAATTGTTAAAAAAGTATACTAATGTATCTTCTTTGAACTAAACTACTTAGGTAGTAGGTTGTTTATTTGAAGGTCCAGCTTGTCTTTGGACTCTAATTGTTAGAAAGTATACTAATATATCTACTTAGGAATAATCTATTTACTAGTATCATATTAAACAGTCCTACAAGTCAGCTTGCTGATGTATATATACTAACATATCTACTGCAATATATAGTTACATAGTTACACAGTTAGTCTGGCTGAAAAAAGACAAAAGTCCATCCAGTTCAACCATTAAAAAAAAGAAAAAAAAAGTTATAATCCTGTACCCACAGTTGATCCAGAAGAAGGCAAAAAAAAGCATTTTTTTTCAAGCAAAGCATGATCCAATTTGCTCCTGCAGGGAAAAATCCTTCCTGATCCTCCGAGAGGCAATCGGATATTCCCTGGATCAACTTTGTCTATAAATGGCAGTAAACGGTTATATTCTGTGTATCTAAGAAAGAATCCAGGTCTTTTTTAAAGCAATCCACTGAGCTGGCCAGAACCAACTCTTGAAGGAGTCTATTCCACATTTTCAGTACCAATATCTTTGCAGTGCGATTTGAGCCTGTACAAAATGAATGGGCTCAAATCGCACAGCAAAGAATCACATGCGATTTGAAGAGGAATGTGCTGTGATTCCTGTCCAAATTGCATACAATTTCCCCCACTGCTCCTGTGTGATCCCACTATAGAAAGACAGGGAAGCGACATGAAGTGCAGCAATGGGCAAACAAACATTAAAATATTAAAAGAGCTTAGTATTTTGTATGTCAAATCCAAAAATGGCCACTTGCAGTGCTCAGAGGGCTGGAGGAGAGGAAGGAAGTTCCAAGACCCCTGTGGGTATAGGGCAGAATTGATGTCAGCTTGGGGGCGGACTGCCTATACCTCTCCTCCAGTCCTGTGAGCACCGCAAGTGGGCAGTTTTGAATTTCACATGCATGATATTAAGCGCTTTTAACATGTGAGTTTTGATAACATTTTAACTTGTTTGTTTGCCCATTGCTGCACTTCATGTCTCTTCCCTGTCTTTCTATCGTGGGATGGATAACACAGGAGGGGTGGGGGAAATCACATGCGATTTGGACAGGAATTGCACCGCACACTTGTTCAAATTGCATGCGCTTCTTTGCAGTGCATTTTGAGCTCATCCATTTTGTATGGGCTCAGATTGCATTGCAAAGGTATCAGTTGTGGGTATTGGGAGCATTTGCACGAGTATCAGTACAAGTATTCAGTATCGGTACCTATGCCAATACTGGTATCAGTGCAACCCTACTAGGAGTATAACATCATGATTATGCAAGCTGTATTTGCTGCCTTGGAAGGAGAATTTTTTGTGAACACAAATGCTCCTGCGCTTGGGGATGGATTCGATGCAGGCTACAACCACATAAGGAATGTCCTGGAACATGCATACCTTGCTGCCCTCAAATGGACCGGGGAAATCCAAATATACTGAATGAGGAAAGAAAAAACAGAGGCCTGACGCGTTTCGAGGACTTGCCTCTTGCCTCATGGGTGGGCCGAAACAAGTCAGAGGGGTGTAGTCAGGATGAGGTTAGGCTGAAACCATATATTCACCTTTCTGTATAGTGGCGGGGTTACAGTTTGAGGCACTTGCACCTACTGTCTAATGAGGAAAGAACAAACAGAGGGCGTACAGGCCTAGTGCATTACCATAAAAAATTTTAATCTCTGAGGAAGAGGCAAGTCCTCAAAACGCGTCAGCATTTTGGATGTCTATACTCCCTATTGCGGACTGTTACTCAGCGCGGTGTTGACCCAGCTGTTTTTTATGATGTGCCTTGACTATATTGTCGTTTGTGAGTACAACACATACTTTATTTTTTATTAAACATTTTTTATGGTAATGCACTAGGCCTGTGCGCCCTCTGAGAATTTTTTGTGACCTGGCATTGAATCAGTGTAATAGAACCTACATTTTTAACCTAGATAGTCACTGATTGCCCCAAGCCACTCTACAAATTCAGGCAAACAAGTAACAGGATGGTATGGACTCCACTGAGCAGCTATATATTGTATCCTGAGTACATATAAATGTGCTTCCCATCAGTTTTCTAAATAATTGTGACATAACCATTGAAGTTGTTTTGTAATCCTGAAATGGCAGGATTACATGGCAATGTAGTCCATATATCATGATGGGCCACCACTAGTTGAAGATATTGGTTGCCTTATATATCCAAATTTCTGAGAATATAATGAACAAACTGTATTTTATTTCCTTTATAGGTTGGTCGAGATTTCCTCTTCCACCATCATAAGTCCTCAATGGGGCATCATAAGTCGATTTCTGGCCTACAGCAAAGCTTTGTCGGATCCATTTGTGTATTGTTTATTACGGAACCAGTATAAGACCTGCTGTCGGGACATGCTCAACAAACTGTTGAAACGCAGCTCTGGAAATTCCTCTGCGCGTAGGGTCAACTCTTACGTAGGACATTTGGTGCCAACCACTTCTGATTAAATAACCTCAACGAACTACAAGAATCCTCTTTGCCAAACAGGCACAAGTCCCTTTCCTGTCAAAAATGAGAACTACTCTAAATGGAATATAATCCTTATTTTATGTTGCTGTAATTTATTGCCTTAATTTATTATGAAAAGTTTGTGTTCCTTTAAGAAAAGAACTTTTCTTCACGATATCATTCTCGAATCCTTGACCTATTTTTAGTCCACCACAGAATAATATTCCAGACTCATGTACCAGGGTATACGAAACACAGAAGCACTGATCGATAATACAAATCTGCCTACTTGTACATTTCCATTAATTTGTGGATCTGTCTCTGCAGGTACTGTCTACTACTTGACTCAGAACATTTGATTTGACTTTGATAATGTTGCCTGTTGACAATCGTATGTTTGAGTAAAGTCACCATTTGCTCAAAATAGGTATCTTGTGTTGTTTGATAATGAATGGACCTAAAGTTATATCTCTTTCTAGACTAAGTCATATTCTGGTGTCTAGCCTCTGGAAAAGGAGTAGGCAGCATACACTGGAGGCGGTGGGTCTATGTGAGAACAGATCATAGTGAAAAAGGATTACGTTGACACAGAACATGACCACATCTACCTTTGTTAGGCAGCACTTCAGCTGCTTATTAACAATTCTGAATGTTTTTTTTTGTTTTAAGAAAAGTATATTTATTCTTTAATTTAATTATTCCTTTGAATGGCAATGATTGTTTCATGAAACACGATTCATTTATGAAGCAATTGATTGCATAGCCTGTGAGTAGGACCCCAGATTCATTTTGGGACCTATAATATTGAATTTGAAATGCTTTCTACTGTTTTTTCTAAATAAAAAAACCTTTTAGTGTCCTTGAAACGTTTGCACTGACAGAGCCCAGTATAAAAATTGTGAGTGCCACTTGTCTACAAAAATTATTAGTGGTGCCTATTTAGCTAGATGAGTGGTCTCCAAACTGCAGCCTGGGGAGTGAATGGAGTCATTTGCCTGCTTTTATCCAGCCCTTGGGGCAGGATAACAGTGGGGCATAGTTCCTGCCACTGACACCAACAATGGGGCACTATTCCTCCCACTGACGCCAATAATGGGGCACTATTCCTCCCACTGACACCAATGATGGCACACTATACCTCCCACTGACACCAATGATGGGGCATTATTCCTCCCACTGACACCAATGATGGGACACTATACCTCCCACTGACACCAATGATGGGGCACTATTCCTCCCACTGACACCAACAACAAGGCAGTATTTCTCCTACTGAAACTAAAGATGGGGTACTATTCCTCCCACTGACACCAACAATGGAGCACTATTCCTCCCCCTAATACCAAAGATGGGGCATTGTTTACTCCCTCTGATAACTGGACATTTTCTACACCCATTGGCCACAGTCCGGCCCCCATAAAGTCTGAAGAACAGAAAACTGGCCCTTTGTTTAGAAAGTTTGAAACCCCTGATCTAAGTAAACCAGTACTGATGAGAATGCAGCCCATCATGTATAAATAATATTGGTGTCATACAGTAAACAGCAATGCGCCATGACACATATTTATTTTATATCATAGCATTCAATCAAAAATGGCTCTTCAGTAGCCCATCAGCTGTAATTTGCAGTAAGATATAGTCCCATGTGTTACTAGAGGTAATTGCACTTCATTGTTGTTTGCAGTAAACATTGAAACAACAACCCATGTGCTTCAATGATATCACTGGTTCCTAGTTGTTTAACCACTAGCCTACAGGGCACTTATACCCCCTTCCTGCCCAGGCCAATTTCCAGCTCTCAGCGCTGTCGCACTTTGAATGACAATTACGTGGTCATGCAACACTGTACCCATATGAAATTTTTATCATTTTTTTGTGATAGATAGAGCTTTATTTTGATGGTATTTTGGCGGCACTGATAGGCGGCACTGACTGGCACTGATAGGCAGCACTGACTGGCACTGTTAGGTGGCACTGACTGGCACTGGTAGGCTGCACTGACTGGCACTGATAGGCGGCACTGACTGGCACTGATAGGCGGCACTGACTGGCACTGATAGATGGCACTGATTGGCAGCACTGATTGGCATTGATAGGTGGCACTGACTGGCACTGATGGGTGACACTGAAAGGCAGCTCAGACGGGCACTGATATGTGCATTGATGTGCAGTGGTAGGCACTGATATGTGACATTGATGTGGCACTGATGGGCACTGGCACGTGGCACTGTTCAGCACTGACAGCTGGTACTGATGGATACTGACAGGTGGCACTTTTGGGGCCACACTGATGATCAGGGCACACTGATCATCAGTGCTCTGATGATCAGTGTACATGTCCCCTCCGTGGAATACCAATTACCGGCTCTCCTCTCGAGCTGTCAGCGTGACAGCTCGTGGGGGAGAGAAATGCCGATAACCGGCATTTCATGTTTACATGTGATTGGACACAGCTGATCACATGACCGAGCCGACGTCTTTGGCTCTTTCCATGGATCGTGATCCGCTGTGTCCGAGGGACACAGCGCACCGCCGATTGCAGCCCTGCGTGCTTCCTGAGCCGCGCATGCACGGTGGGAATGGGAGGATGTCATATGATATGAATGAGAGAACCACCTTGCGCCTGTCATTGGACTATATAGCGGGCGGGAGGTGGGTAAGTAGCCAATGATTACAGCTTCCCAAATAACCTTATAAGACCATTAACTAGTACACTAAATAAACTAGAGAATGGATACATAATGGTCTGGACTACTTGCTCTTGACCTAAGATGTTTGCTTTTGCATACTTAGAAAAAGTAACAGAATCTAATGGTCCTATGGCTGTGGTCAGTGTCTCCACCATTTACTATCTGGCCATTAACTGATCCACACTCACATACAGTATATGGTACTGGGTACCATATGATCTCTCCATAATAAGATCTGAGTTCATATTTGTCAAGGATCATGCAGGCCCATTTCAACCAGTTCTTTTGCTAAATTTTGATATTCTACATGAAAGACATCAACACAATCTTTGCAGGTTATCAAGTTGAAATATATTCCTCAAATTTGAATGCACAGTTGATATTTGCTAAATATATTATTGGCTGAATAGAAAAAATAAAATATAAAGTGTGTGTCTCATTTTTACATCTCCAGAACTAACCTGTGCCACACTTATACTTGTCCATCTGTGTAACTGCTTCAGAATTCCCCATAAAAGTGCCTGAAGTATTCTCCAATACATGTGTTTAGACAGTCTCAGCCCCCAAACCTCTCCCCACCCTGTTGGTTTTTAACAAGAAGTGCTGCCAGACAATCACTCCTCTGAGGTCATGCCTGGGAAAGCTATTTAAACCTGTTTTGTGCATTTGAAAGTTGCCTAATCAAAGACCTCTCTGAGTATATCTTCCCTTTACCTATATCCATGAGTTCTGTTCCAGTTCTGTTAACAATGTCTGCCTGCTTCTTGATAATCTTTGCAATCTGCCTGCCCTGACCTTTTACCTGTGTGTCCATGACTTGGCCTGCCATTTTGTACCATTCTTAGTTTCTGTCTGCTGAGTGGTCAGCAGCAAAGCCCATCATTCCTTGAACTGTGCTTTGTCAGCCAAGGGTAACTGAGGCCACAACCTGTGAGTGGTCAGCAGCAAAGCCCATCATTCCTTGAACTGTGCTTTGTCAGCCAAGTGTAACTGAGAGCCACAACCTCGGAGCCATCAGCATCAAAGCCCATCATCCCTTGAATTGTCCTTTGTCAGCTAAGTGTAACTATGAGCCACAACCTCAGAGCCATTAGCAGCAAAGCCCATCATCCATTGAACTGTCCTTTGTCAGCCAAGTGTAACTGAGAGTCACAACTTCAGAGCCATCAGCAGCAATGCCCGTAATCTCTGGAACTGTCCTTTGTCAGCCAAGTGTAAATGAGAGCCACAATGTGGGGGCCATCAGCAGCAAAGCCCATAATCCCTGGCATTGTGGTTTGTCAGCCAAGTGTAACTGAGGGCCACAACCTGGGAGCCATCAACAGCAAAACCTGTCATCTCTTGCATTGTGCTCTGGTGAACACTGTGCAGTTCCTTAGACCCTGTGCCTCAGCACTTCATAGGGCTTACATTCACCTGATCACACAGAAAGTCCACTACCTCTGTTGCAGTGTGCCAAATGTTTTGGTACACCTCCAGTTATTTTTTTTGGTGATAGAGCTTACCTAACTCATTAGACAGGTGTCAGGTGAAGGCAATTTCAGAGTTGTCCCCGCTGGGGTCTACTTCTTTGTTCATCCCAATGATCATTTTCACTGGGACTAAAAGTGAAAGAAAATCCTAAAATTAGAATTGCCACCAAAACAGGAATAGATGGGAAATCGTCCAGTGGAAACACTTGGTTCAGTGACAACTGTCTAGAACACAAGATGTGTAAGAACATCAAGATTGAATGGCTACTTCATGTCTGTGACACCCTCAGACAACTCTGGCTGACAATTTACTTCTGAATATGTTCAGTCGGGGAGGTTGTCCTTGTCCAATCACTGTTGATCCCTTGCAGATAAGCTAGCACCATGGCTGTCATCCTGCAATTTTTCTGATTGAAACTTCGGACTGGGCTGTTCAATAAGACATAAATCACATGCATGCTTCTTCCACTTGTGTATGTAGATTTTAGATTGAGCTATTGAGGTTTGTAAAAAAGCTATAAGAAGATAACATTTGAAATCTGGCTAAAATGCAATTGAAATGCAATAGTTCATATTTCCTGGCAAAAAAATGCTCTTATATTTTTACTTTTTTAGGCCAGATAATAATAAATAAAGCCTTTATATATGAAAATACTACACATTCCAAAAAATAGATAAATAGTCAAGGAAGAAAGTGAAGCATAGTAGACGTTGGGTGTTCCATAAAGTCAATAATTTAAAATAACATCCGTGGCAGCACAGTGGCTAAATGGTTAGCACTGCCACCTGGCAGTTGGTTCGAATCCCAACCACTGCACCACCTGCCTGGAGTTTGCA